ACTGAATCGACGAGGACGGCCACGAGCGGATCATGGGCGACGAACACAACCACACCCGCGACCCCTCGGTCGTCATTTACGCGACACTCAGAGCTCAGCAGAAGATTCTCTGGCGTGGCGCTTCTCAAAGCTGGCTGGGACAGGGTGCAGAGAACAGCATCGACACATACGATCTCATCAAGCGCACCAAGTACATGCAGAAGCGTGGAAAGTATCGAGAAGCAGGCGTGCTCCAAGCAGCAGCGTGCGCAGCAACATGGACACCATGTCGCAAGAGCAAAACCTGCGCGGACACCTCCAGCCTATGTGGTTGTGGGCAGGTCTGCGACGATTACAATCGAATATCTATGGGACGCGTGCCAATTGCGCGAGTCTCACGAAGATTACGAGAAAAACGACAGCCTGAAGAAGCGGGCCTACCAGGGCAGCTCAGCGATCCACCGTGCATCTGGCCTAGAGGTCTGATTCCACTGGAGTGGACAGCACCACTAGATTGCGACGAAGAGAACCAGCCCCACCACATCGGCGAGATTATGAACACCGAGGAGCCCGACGCGCACCACGAGGCGGTCACCCGCAGCGAAGAAAGCGGTGGCAAGCGCTCGTCGGACCCTAAGTATCGCAAATGTGGTTGGGGATGGGTCCCACTACGGAAAGTTGAGAACACCAACGACCCCATGGGCGACCTCAAAATCGACGACGGTCAAGACATCAGAAATCATGTTCCGAAAGAGGCTTCCGGGGACATGATTCCCCCTGTGCCCCTGCCCCCGTGCACCATCCGTGCCGCCCAGCTTGGTCCCCTCCCCTGGCGCCAAACGCATAACAGAGCAGAGCTGTGTCCATAATCCAAGTAATGAAGAGCACGCGTGGCAAGCTGCTCATGTGGACGGATTCTGATGTGGCATTCCGAGGTTGGCAGCGCGATCATCGCACACAGCTTGCTTGACTCCCAGCTGTGACAGCTGGGAGTCTAGCAAGCCAACGCTGACATGCGGGATCTGACAATACACGCGCTGAGGCTTCGATCCCCCGGGTCACGATGACCCAGCTGACCTGGTTCGACAACAGCATATACCTACGTACTCATCTTGATGAAGAGGATCCGCACAGACTACACCTGGACGAAGAGGCGTGGTTCGGCATCTCCATCGCCGGCGCATTGGCAGATCGCCTCAGCCCACGAGATCCCCGAGGTAAAGATGCAAATGTACGAGCGCGTGCGAGCTACTGCGGCTACGGTGTGGAGGCGCTTGGCTCGTGTGACTATGGATGCCTGCGAGAGAAACCACTCGGGTCGGATCTCTGAGCGGAACGCTGTCCGCGCCAGAAAAATGACAGCTACGAGTAAGATGAGCCTCGCGTTTTCCGCATCACCCTACGTCCTCAGAGTGTCTATGAGTTGATGGCACTGTAGCGAGCGTAAGGAGCAAATGAGCAAGCGAAGCTGTAGCTTTAGTCATCAAGCGCTGGCTCAAGCAATTCAGCCCGCCGAACCCCACAGCTAAGATTGGCATTTGCAGACGCACCATGAAATATGCGGATGGTTACCC